AATTCAGACAGTCCTGCAGGGGCAGCCCAAGAGCCCAGCGCTTCCTCCAAAGCAGGAGGATGGAAGTGTGCAGCTCAGCATAAATTTGGTCTGGACATCAGCTACTGCCGCTGGATTAACTGAATAGCACTGTACTCTTAATCTTTTCTCACTGTAGCTAAAAATGACTTTCAAACACAGCTTGAGATAGAAAAGTAAATCACTTCCCTGCAGCTGGGGAAGAACAAGACGGGGAGAACACCACAGCCTGATTTTCAGAGATGCTGCTGCAATTCAGCCGTCATGAAGGTCAGTGGGAAATACAGGGCTCGTGCCCAAGGAAATGCCGACTGCAGCAGAGATCCAAGCTTGGAACTGCCTAACACTTATAGAAAATAGCTCCTGTATGACTCTTCCACAGTCGCGAGTTAATTACAAAGCAGCAGAGCTAAACCCAAGCCTTGCCAATGGCTTCTGGACCAGAAACCCCAGACTCAAACACCCTTCTCTCTCCATAACACCTCTCGCACAGCAGAGGAGCTCACTGCTGGAGCCAGAGATACTCAGTTCCCACGCTGACTCCAGTGGGACAGAAACACCAAGTCACAAAGCGTGTGTTATGCAAAAAACTTAAGCCTCTGCGTATTATTTAAAATGTTCTAGTCAGAGGTTGTGCTTAACAACACCGTTATCTCCACAACCATTCTGCTACAACACCACTCCCCATTTTGTTTCCTAAAAGCCCTTCCAACCGCATCAATCCCTTTTGCTATCTCAGATCCTGCTACATCACCGCTATCACATTAAAAATACACTTCTCATACCACCTGAGGATACGGTATTAAAAAAAAAACCAAAACCTTTAGAAGTCATCCTCCTTCTGCACAAACAAAATATTACTTCAGAAGTGAATGAAAACACAGTCCCAGTGATGTAATCATTATGCAATTACTGAGTATGATGTAACAGGAGGCCACACAGAGAAAAGCACCTTCTTCCAACCCGCAGGAGAAGTTCAAGCAAGTGGTTGGGGCTCTCAGCACCAGTCCTGCTCATGCTTTAGGAGGACAATAACTAGCCTAACTCTTCTTTCCCCTTGCCTCCTTGCAC